TTTCCAACTAAAGGATTTTGCGAGTGAACGGATGCACGATGTAAAGTAAGAAAATAATAAATAGAGTAAACAAAACAGAAACAGGATAATGGATGACTACCTAGAGGAATTTTAAGGGCTTTATTTTAAGGATCGTTGCTTCGTTATTCAAACAAGGTTTTAAAGTTAAAAGCATATAAGAATTATTGAAGACTGAATACATCAAGACTACTTAGTTTCATTATGTTGTTAATGTTTTGATTATTGAATTATTTGATTATATCAGTTTTGAATTTTTTTGTTGTATTTGTCTTCTCCTGCACTCTATTTGGGGTGAAACATAATGTTTAATAAGGTATGGACCCAGTGCGTATGTTGATTGTAACTGAAACTGTTTTAGGAAGGTTCTGAATTTATTGTTTCAACATCGGGGTGCTTGTCTTAGATCATGCAAGCTTTTATTTAGTCTACATACTAAATTAAGGCTACCTCATGTAGATTGTTTCTTCTAGATCTCTATAGAGGAAAGCAGTTTTCACATTAATCTCCAAATTATAGGCTTTTGCATTAATTGACCGAATTTCTGGGTTACACATGTTGAATTTTGAAACTTTTGTAATAGAAAACAGTTTATAGTTGAATACCGAAATAATAGACAGTAATTTAATGTACAAAAAATGCTGTCATATGTCAATGAGCCAAAGTTTGGAGAACTTTTTGGAAGTTACTGAACAAGGAATTTTTTCAGTGGTGGGAATAAATGCATTTGCATATATGACACCTGTGTGTGAGCAACTATCACAAAGCACGTATCTTCTAGAGACCCCACGCCAATGGTAGACTTTTAAACCAAATTAGCGCCACCTTGAGTTTGGAGCAGGAACTAAAATGACAATTGACAGATGGTGGTAAATTCAAATTATAATTTTTAGTAGTAGGTAATAGTTCTAAATTTTAAATGATTTCCACATAAAATATTTTATAAAATAAAGTATGGAACTAGTAAGTTCGAAACTTATTTTACAAAATAATTTAGGTCGATATGCCAAATTTAAGGAATTAATTTGTTATAATGGGTCTAATTTGGAGAGTTGGTTCTGCATATTATTATTAAATAAAATATAAGATATATCAATAAATAATAAATAGAACATTCTGAAAATATGTTTATTAATAACTTAAATATTATTAGAACAAAATAAATACCAATAATAATAATACATATTTAACGAATACTTGCTTGGAGTAAATAGGTATACAATCTCAAATCTTTACAATATCAATATATTGAAATGTGAAGTAGAAACTAGGATATAACATTTTATTAACACTAAAGTTATATTTTATAAATGTCTTTTTACCTGAAGGATAAATGTAATATAGGTATTGGGTTAAAAGGTGAATCCTCTTTCTGTAACGTGTGGAGAATGGGTTACCCCCACGGCACTTGTGTCTCATTAGGCCCATTGTGCATCTCCTAAGATGATAGGCACATCCTAGCTCGTGAGACAGGAAGGTGAATCCTTTTAACTATTCATTCACTGATAAATATTTTCCTTCCAAATACAAATGGTATACTCTTCTTATGTGAAAAATGATTTCGGAATCTAGTCCAGTGATAAATTGATTACCCGTTTTTTATGATGTATGGTAAATCAATGAAGTTTTTCTCGAAGCACCAAAATTATTGCAAAACACAGTAGAAAATAGAAAAGCAAAACATCACAATTTTGCAAATAACTAAGACGAAACTATAAACAGAAACTAAAGCCAACAAAAAATCACTAAAATCAGACGGAAAAATGCGACTAACCAAAAACATAAATAAACACACGTCACATTTTTGGAGTTTTTGGTTGTTTCTCTCCCATAAAGCATAAAAATGGAGTAAGAAATCATAATTTCACCAGTAGCCCCATCTAGAGTTTGGAGCAAAGAGCATAATAAATGTCAGTTGTCGGTTTTGACCTTGGCCATTCACGTGGAACCTCTATGTGCTTTGTGGCAACTATAGTTTTATAGCGGTCTGGCATTGAAGTCGGAACTTCTTAAAACTGCCACTAAATTCTCCGTTACTTCGGCAAACACTGGGAACATTAATTTCCTACTCATAGTCGATCTTGAGGCAACGCTATTCCCTTATCCGTACCTCTTTTGAAAATAACCCTTTAGTCCATAGATTACTAATGTGAATAGATGGGAAACTCAATGGTAAAATTCTCGATCTATCAAATTGGAGTGGTACTAAAATTCAATATGGCCGCCACTGGCGGGCTTTTTGAAATTTAACTTGGTAGTAGCGCAAAAATGTAATGAAGAAAATCAAATAAAGCAAAAAAATTGGAAAAATATTTGACTAGTTTTAAATCATAAAACAACCACATTGACTGTTTTGTGATTTGAAACTAGTCAAATATTTTGCCAATTTATATCTTTATTTGATTTTACTTCATTATATTTTTCCATTAATTTCAAACTTAAAATAAAATGCAATTTATTTTATTTTTTTTTTATTACAGTAAATTAACGCCGTATTATATAATTTGTCTTTTTAAACATGGAAATACTCAAACAAATATGCATTTACACCATTTATAGTATATTATTAAACGAGCAATTTATGGTAGCCATTATTCACGCAAGTCACCCGAGTGAATAATGGCCATAAATTGCGAGTCTAATACTATACTTTGTCCACGACCATTATGGTTTCTTTATTAAATAAAAGTTAAGTGTGAATGGAAAGTTTTTATTAAGCATAGGTAACTAACTGTTGTTTTTTCGACTTTTCGATTTTTCGTTTTTATCGATTTTTTTTTCGATTTTTCGATTTTTTTCTCGATTTTTTCATTTTTTCGATTTTTTTCGATTTTTCGATTTTTTTTAGATTTTTCGATTTTTTTTTTATTTTTCGATTTTTCGTTTTTTTTATTTTTCGATTTTTTTCCGATTTTTTCGATTTTACGATTTTTCGATTTTTCGATTTTTCGATTTTTCGATTTTTTTTTTCGATTTTTCGATTTTTTTTTCGATTTTTCAATTTTTTTTTCGATTTTTTGATTTTTTTTTCGATTTTTCGATTTTTTTTTCGATTTTATCGATTTTTCGATTTTTCGATTTTTTTTGATTTTTCGATTTTTCGTTTTTTTTTTTATTTTTCGATTTTTTTCCGATTTTTTCGATTTTTCGATTTTTTTTTTTTCGATTTTTCGATTTTTTGATTTTTCGATTTTTTTTCGATTTTTCGATTTTTTGATTTTTCGATTTTTCAATTTCTCGATTTTTCGATTTTTTGATTTTTTGATTTTTTGATTTTTCGATTTTTCGATTTTTCGATTTTTCGATTTTTCGATTTTTCGATTTTTCGATTTTTCGATTTTTCGATTTTTCGATTTTTCGATTTTTCGATTTTTCGATTTTTCGATTTTTCGATTTTTCGATTTTTCGATCTAGAAAATATCGTTATGAAAAGTATCGCCTATCTTTAGTTATCTATCGGAATGTGCCAGAATTACAAAAGCGTGAATTATCATAATTCACTCCGTGATATATGGGTACTATATGCTCTTAGTTAGGAGGTAGAATATTGATTTATTATTAAGTGGTCGTGGACAAAATAATTAAATATTTATAAAACAAATCTATCAAAAATGTTTTCTGTAACAAAATCAGCATATATAAGTGCTCACTCAACACCTTTATAAAAGTTTTGCGACTTGGAGTGGCAAATAAGTTTGAAAAAATTGAAGCACGATGCGATGGCTTGAAAACATTGTTTTACTTTTGGACAAGAAATTTCCGAAATATGTATATACGTTTTTCTAAAGTTTTATGTGATATTTTCGCTTTTTTAAAAAAGTGCCGATGTCGTGTCAAATCCACTAAACGCAAGCAAGAATAAAATATGTTTTTTAAAACGAGGTTACTTGAAGCTTTTAGAGGAATACAATTGCCTCCATATTAACCTTACTAATTTTTTTTAAGAAAATGTTTTATTGTTGTGATTGAGTACGTCCTATCAAAAGAACTAGCAGATTAATATATTCTCCTATAATGACGGCAGTCTTTTGGTGTTTAGATTCTGCAATAGCTATTTGGGCGTCATCTCTGGCTTGTTTTAAAGTAATGTTAATAGTTTTAATTATCTCAATAAACATGTCAATAAAGTTTTGATAAGATAAAAACTTGTATTGGCTCTTAGGTACAATCATTGTATCATCAAAACAAAGTGCATAGAATTTTATCAAGGTCATATTAGGGGCCTATATTTTGATATACGAGTATAATACACATAATAATATAAGTATTCAAGAAAGAAAACCATTTTATTTCTTTCCTATTTAAAATATTATAATGATAGATAAAATTATAATTTAAATATATTTAAACTAATTTTAATGTTTTATTTTAAATATAATATAGTAATAGTAAATAATTCAAATTTCTTCATAAAATAAAATTTTTAATAAAAAATTAACAAGTATTTGTTGAATTTCACATGTGACTTTGTTATGATATGTACAACTAAGCGCCATCCATTCTGCGTGCTCTAATTCAAGAACGGTCGAATGTATAAAATATTGTTTGAAAAAGAGTTATAAAGAATTTTTCAAATCAAATAAATCCAAATGTTTAGAGTATAGGAAACGATTTTTGCGACCTCTGACCTTGAATATCTTGACCGCGTACAGAGATTCTGTGAGACTTCTGGGGCCTATTTCATAAAAATGACATATTATTATTAAATAATATTAGGCTCATAAAATAATAATATGAGTTGGCTGTTTTCTGTTTCACAGATTATTTTAATTTACACCTTAGAGCATATTGCTCTAAGATTTACACATATTATTGGTGACAGAATATTTTCTAATATATTAGTAGCATGGCAGCTACCTACTAGATCTAGGGTCCTTATTGAAGTTTAGTTGATATGTCAAAAGGTAGTATTTTTTAATTGTGAAGTGACATTTTTATTGAAATAAAAGATGCCTAAATTAAGCAAAAGATAAGAAAAGAAAATGAAAAATCAAAACTTTTTAAGAAAAATATTAAAATTAAAGAATGAACTTTTTGGTCAGTTTTCTACTACTATTACCAAAGAGTCACGGAAAACAGCATGGATAAATGTAAGAGATTATGCTGTTTCAATAGGTCTAATAGGAAGCGACAAAGAGTTTTGTTATGTACGCGACGTAACTTGGCCTAACCTAAGGTCCAGAACAATGGTAAGTGTTATCTTTATTTATAATACGACTACATAAATGCAGTTATTTACTTTAATTGTATTTCAATTGCATTCTATGAGATATTGCCACATTTAAGAATTAGTTTTTAATACATAATGCTTTAACAAAGTTTATTCAACATTGGTGTGTCTAAATAACGGAAACATTGTAATAAAAATCCATCACATTAGTAATTAGTAATTTTTATAAAATTTTTAATGCTGATTATGGGAAAATATTTAAAAATATTCCATCAAATACAGTTTCGCAAATATTTTCAAAGAAGCTGTTATATTTTACAAGCACTTTGGCCTTTATAGTTATGCATTTTTTCAATATTATGTTGTGTATAATATGTAAACCATGCCATCTTTTATCTGTTTATTAAAATTTAGAAACTTTACGGTAAAATTTAGTTTTTTACCCAAAATACACCATATTCTGAGGTGGCCGAAAAAATAAATTTTGTTTTTGAAATCAGCACTAAAAAATACACTATAAATCAGTTATTTGGACAATTTTAAAAATATTTTTTGCATCCTATGTAATTAATGCTAATAGTTTTTAATTTTACTATTGAGCCCATATAAAAGATTTTTATTTGATTACAGACAAAAATTGACCAATCAAATAAAACTGGCGCACAAGGAGGTCCCGAATCAAAATTAGATGACACTGATAAACTAGTGATAGAAATAATTGGAAATGAATCTCCTGTTGTTCAAGGAATTGGCGTACCCGATTTAATGGAAACTGTTTCCGAAGTTAAAGAGATTACCGAGGACTTTAGTTATTCTATGCCCAACGAAAACGATGATAATGGCACCACAAAAAGCAAGTGCTCGCTTCAGCAAAGTTCATGTAGAGGTAAGACTATAAAGTAACTAAAATTATTTCAAAATAAGTCAACCTAGTTTCTAATTCAGATGATTACATATTATTTTTGTAGGTAAGAAAAGAGTTATCGTTCAGCTACCAGATAATGCTAAGAATATTCAATCTCTTAAAATAAAGAAACTTCAGCTTGAGGTTCGGAAGTTGGAACTGGAAGTTAGGGAAAAAGAATGCTCATTTTGTTCATACTATTAATATTGAATCCTCAAACTATATCAGTGGTTGCGAAACACAACTGGGACAGGTTATGATTGTAAATTCTACTGATTGTGACGAAGGGTAGTTTATTTATGTTAAAGAAAAATAATAATTTAATATCTTTAAAAGCATTATAATAAAACGTATGTTACACTTTTATTTATTTTATTACTGATAAAAGTTTAATAAGTAGCTACTTTTCAAATGCCTACCAATTTATTGTTTTGCAGAATAAGAAATATATACAAAATAAATTTTCCACTATGCTGAAAAATAAAATGTTTTCTTTACATTTATAGATATTATTTCAGTCATTCCGGAAGTGATTATAAAAGCAGGCAAATCTAGGTTTTAATTTTAAATGGTTGAGGCATGGAAATTTTTCTTTCAAAATAACAATGGTACATTCAATAACTCGCCTTGTACTTTTGTGTGCTCTTAAATATTTTTGTTGTGCAGGATCTTCTGCATTACGAAGTACAGGTGGTATAAGCCAAGGCTTTAAAGGATAAATTGAATCACCTAACAGTACGGCATTTGGAAAAGGTCTCCAACCATCTTCCATTCTGATGCTAAGTGAACTTCGCCTCCAAACTCGTGCATCGCTTACGCTACCATGCCAATTGGCATTTACATAATAAAACTTAATTGTTGGACCACATACAAGCATCACGTTCAATCAATGATTACCATGACGATCCACAAAACCAGACTCATATTGACTTGGAGCATCAATGTTAATTAAAGTCCCGTCCACTGCTCCACACACAAGGGGCATTCCAGCCATTTTACTAAACCCATGAATTACTTCAGCCACATCCACTGGCCAACAAACTGTTTCGTTTATTAAAATTGCCCCACTTCCAAGCCAATGTAGTGCACTTATCAATTGCTGCTTGGCTGTAAGCGCAGTATCAGAAGATAAAAGATGTTCTATCCGTTGCAGTATTATATTAAAACTTCCAGTAGGTAACCTAAACCTTTCATTGAATTCGTAGGTTTCTTCTAAATGTACATATGAAATTTTCTCTCTGAAAATTCTCGGTCGTCTAACTACAATTCTAATTTCATCGTCACTTGAATCTGAATCCATAATTTTGAAATAAAATATGTCACATATAATATCAGTGCAAATTAAGCAATAATATTAGTAGGTATTTATTATTTTAAATTATTTGTTTACTTTAACTATAAAACATACTTCAAATTTTACAAATATAATAAACTAATATTAAGAGTAAGTTTACTAATAACTAATTTTATTACCTAAAAATATGAAACTAATATTTCTTACTCATAATATTAAACTTTAGCCAATATTATTAGACTAACAAGTTTTATGAAATAGGCCTCTGTGCAAACTTATCAAATGCCAAAACACAAATACAAGTTTACAGCTTTATTAACTTTTACTCCGAGGTTTATACCTTTACCACAGCTTATACAATACAGCTCCACAACTCCGTGTCGGCGTCTTTGATCTGGCGGTCGAGAACCAAGCAAGACGGAATGGTGCTATCTCTGTTAGATTCGAGGGAAAAGTCGGGCCCGGATTAAACAATTTTTTTATTATTGAAAAAATAGAAAACCTTGGCGTAATAAGGTTGGTTACATGCCATATTAAGTAAGTTTTGGGAAATTAAATTTTTAATTTGTTTTAAATCTGTCAAATATAATTAAAAAAATTATTTAAATATAAATATTACGAAAAATAGCGATCTTTCGGATTAGAGGTAAAATAATTTGTATGTGGCTAGTAAAATCCTCGTTAACAAATGTTTTGAGCTAAAACAGTCACTTCACGACAAATTGTGGCTTGGATCCTTTTTACACCAAGGGCTTCAATTGTTAAAGAATTTTGTCACGCTCGTGGATGCAAATAAAGTGGTACCCCGTGTGTCTGACAAGTGTTACTCTTCGCTCAAAGGGTTTATACCTAGATAAACGAATGCTTCGACTGAGGTCTGGGAACTCTATGGTATTTTGGAATTATAAAGAATTTGTGCTTTTATTTTAACAATATTGGTTATATTTAGATGTATTCTTATTAACTGAAATACAGATTTGTAGAAGTAATACTTTGACAGTTTTTATTAATATAATATATTCAATTTTTATCTGACCATACCGAAATAGGGAATTTTGAAACTTTATAGTAATGTGAAATTTGAATTACAATATTACACGAAATTACATAATTAGTACTTATTTTAGGTAGGTACTAAATTTGTACTTGGAGAAAGTAATATCGATTTTTACAAGAAAACTTGAAAAGTAAATTAATTTAGTTCCTATTTCTGATTTAAAACTTAAACCAAGAAAACAAATAAATAGTAGTTTGTTCAACAAGGGTGAATATGATAGCCATATCACACAAAGAGGAAGTTTGAGCACGACGTCGTAGGCGGAGTACTCAATCGTTTGATTGTGATATGAACAATCCACTCGATATGGTCAGTATATTTTTTCTACGACCCACTAACGAAAATCTACAAATTTAAAAAATTATGAGATTAAACATACATTAAAATAGGTTAGTCTTTTCGAAAACGTTAGCATGGATGACTAAAAGGTATTGGGTTAATTAATTCTAAAAGTGTGGTACAAATGTTATTTTTTGTAGCCAATTCTTCAAAATTATTTTGAAATCTCTTTTCAATATTGAATAGTAGTTTTACAAATTCATCATTTGACAGTTGCAGATTTCCAAATGTATCTGAATTGGCGTTATCATATGCCTTTAAAAAGCAATAAAAAGAAAAATCATCTAATTCAACGTGATCTTTGTTATATTTAAGACATGTATCACAGGAGTGGATCCGCAAGGCTTTTATTAAAAGGTAACCACACACATACCTGATAAAAATTTTCTGTAGCAACTCGTCTTTACAATAATTTAGCGTGTTAATAATTTCATCATAAAATAAAATACAAGGTGTTCCATTTAAAAAAACATACATTTTAATTTGCCAGGCAAAAACGTGACACCCTGTATATCCAAAGATATTTTTAAAATATGTAGGTATTTTTCAAATCCATATAATTTTTATTTAAAACTTTTTTGCGTGAACAATAACGCACTAATGGGACACCCTGTATAAATTATTTTTTTAACAATGAAAATTTCTTATAATGTGGTACTTATCGGTTTGGGTCCTTGGAAAAACTAAAGAATGTTTTTTTGCAGGTATAACCCTTATTAAAACAGCTTATGACTGCACAAACAGAATGATGTCTTTTTTTCGCTCATTCTACTCACAGCTAAAAAGTCACCAAAATAATAATAGTACCTTTAACTCAAACAAAATCAACGTAATTATAGGCTCCACGAAATTATACAATCAACGAAATTATACGCACGACTCAACACCTTACCTAAGTACGCCTCTGAACGCCAAAACTGTCTTTTTCCTCCGAAGGCGGAGCTTAAGCGATGCGCGACGAAATCGACGCAAACCGTTGCCGCCAAGAGAGTGTTTTAGCTGTATTGTATAAGCTGTGCCTTTACCCTTTACCTCTTTTTGAACCTTAAGGTTTGCGTCTGACACATAATGAATCACATTTCGCGCAAGAAAAAGATGGGTATAACTTTCCGCAAAGTAGGTGTCCCGGGACGTAGCGGTACCCGGCAGTGAGTAGAGGATCTTAAAAATTTCTAAATATCGACGAATAGTTGTCTACTTTTTTTTCAAGGCTCTGGCCTACAATGAATTTGCATAAGCAGGCCCGGCATTACTATCGTTTTAGGAAGAAATTTGAGAAGTTTATTTCTAATTTGTAAATTACCTTTCATGTTATAAAACGTTTAAATTAAAGTATGCTAAAATACAAATAAAACAGTTTAACTTTCTTAGCAAAAATCGCAAAATCTAACCAACAATCAATTTTTATTAAATTTGGTACTGGGTCTTCAACAATACCGAAAACCCACGTGACCAAATCGTCATGGCAGCGATTGGTGAAAATAAAAGTGAAAATCCCTAGATGTGAGCCAGTGCCGTAGATATTTTATTACAAAATAGATCTTTTTTTTATGGTCTGCAACTGCCAGAACAAAATTTAGTTAGATAACTGTTAGAATTACAACACAAAATCATAATATTAATTAGATGTGGTTTACATTATTGTATTTTAATGTTAGAATTCGATATTTTAATTAAATTTAGTCAAATGCAATAATCTAACTTTTAAAATTATGATATAATTAACATAACCTTAAAAACTAAGCTTTTTATATCTAGTTTGTATTTATCGAAAAGAATAATAAACTGAAATGTAGTTCGTACTAGTTATTGCCACTATTACAAAAAAAACCTTCACCAGAACAGGGCGAAGAAAGTTATGGACAAAAAATGTTATGCATTAAAATATGAATAAAATTAAAAATTAATTACTTTAGATTGACTCTAAGCTACTTAGCTACAGCTGAAACTTTAAATACGATAGGCATTTATAGGCATATTTATAACGTAATAGCTGATACTTTTTTGAGTTTGCATCCCAAATTATGCAAATAAATTAAAGGTATAGCCATTATTTTAAATATAGATTCAGGATGTCAAGATAATAATGTTTCGCCTAATAATAGCGAAAAAGCGAAAAATTTGGATGTCTTGCTATTTCATGACTTTTTATTTATTTTATTAAAGGTAGTGTACTGAATTATTGGTATAAAAATTGTATTTGTAATCTTATTAGTTATAATAATTTTATTCAACATTACACGTACAGAACATGGGCTGTTGATAGTATTTTGATATGGGTTTTTATGCAATTGTTTAGATTTGAGCGACACTATTCATTAACAGATTATTCTAACAGAAAAGAAGGGTGTTGGACCTTAATAATGTTACATATCATAAATATACTTAATAATAAAGAAGCTATAAATATTTTCGAAAAAGATTAAAAATTGCATGGTGTGGCTATTTAATTTAAATGCGACATGAGAATGTATATGGTCCGTTTACGTTAGCCTGGCGCATTCACAATTTTAC